GTTTAAATAATTATTACAAAGCCTAATAAAGTGAAGGCAAGACTGCCGAATTATAAAAAAAAAAAAAAAAAAAAAAAAAAAAAATTTTATAGGCTTTACATTGAATTTCAGAGTAGATAAGTTATATGAAAATTCTGTCATTTTTACAACAGATTTGCGTGGATTAGAAGAATCAAATTTATGTATGTAATTTGTTGGAATATATTACTTGGAAATATAAAACAAATTATAAACTTCATATTGGGTCTCAAAGTAAATAAGCTATACAAAAAATTTATCGATTCTAAAACAAATTTGCATGGATTAGAAAAATCAAATTTACGTATATTAATCTGTTGAATATACTACTTGGAATCATAAAACAAATATATATGAAAATATAGTTACTTATTTCATATTTATTATTTTTATCTCAGGAGTTACTACGCTTTTGTAAATCTAATCATTATAGCCATTTATGTATATATATTTAGATCACTACACCTTTGTATATTTAATCAAATTATAGAATACCTTTGGATCATCATTAAATTTGCCAATTTTGTTATGCTATTGAAGCCATGGTTCATCTTTTTAAACGTGTTTCAACTAGAAAAATGATTATTTCTTATACTATGAAATTAAGATTACAAGCAGTTCTTGATATAATATTCATCTTTGGTAATTCTATTAAAGCGAAGTAAAGAAATATCTAAAGTATAAAAATATTGTTTAAAAAAAACTGGGTTACAAAATTCTTAACATAAGTGATTCAGAAGTTTGATGTTTTCTTATCAGCTAAAATATAGCAGATGACAATAATACTTGAGTAAAATCCAAATTCAATAAAGACAAAAAGGTAAGCCTATATATAAACAAATATCATTAAAGAATCATATATGTGTAGAAAAGATACTAATCTTTTAATTATCTTATTACTTTATTAATAACATGCATATATCCAACATAAGATACAGTATATCCTCGATATAATGAAAACTAAGTATATAACAAAGAGCATTTCTAATTTTTGTGTTTAAATTAGCCCTGATATAACGAAACAATTAATAAAAGCTTGATATAACAAAGAAAATCTCCAGCTCTAGTGCTTAATTATATCGAGATTATACTGTATTTAATTTTCTATTAACAAAAATAAATTTATGAATTGTAGAAAATGAGGTATTTGTTATATACTTTTAGCAGTTATAGTAAAAAATTTTTATCAGGCTTTAATTTTTAGTTTAAATAATTATTTACAATCAAATACTTTTGCATTTATAAACTTTATTATACCATTTTCGAATTTTACAAATTTAATATAAATAAAATGATATAAATTTTTTCTTACCAAGGCTATTATATTGTTAATATTTAGATTGCATCTCTAGATATAATAATTGTGGTACACATGAGTGCTATCAAAGGAAACCCTGTCATCGGGCTTTCAATTATATTTTGAACTGGACATAATCACTAATAAATCAATATTGGTACAAAATATAATTGAAAACTTGATGACAGGCTTTCCCTTAATGGCACTTATATATAGATACATATATACACAAATATATAATCAAAGGAATAATTATATATATATGTTGTGTCTCAGATCGATACTCGTGTCAGGTGACAGCTGATGCATCTCAGATATCAATCATTAGATGAGGTACCCCAGGTGATCTGAGGTGCATCAGTTATTATCTAACGCATTTGATTTTACACTATTTTTTAAAGCATATCCATCTTTATTTAAATATTTCATTTTCTACAACAGTTAACAAATTACATATAAATCGCATAAGTTATTTATCTACTCTTTATTTTGGCATGAACGCCCACTATGACATCTACTACCACATTTACTGCTACTTTTTTTATAGTGACACCTATTATTACTACAGTCATTTTTACAGCTACAAATCACACATGATAGACCCATACTTTGGAGCTGTCCTGCTTCCCTGATTGATATTTTATTTGATGGTATGATGTCAAGTTCGGGGAAGCTAGTAGTGCCCAAAGGTTCAAGTTCACTGATGAAATAAAGAACTTCAATAATTCCAAATTTTGACCCCAACTGATACTTGTTATTTTCAGTTTTGTCAAGTATTTTGCATGGAAGGGTTGGCTGATCAATACTAAATCTGTCAATTTTGGAAATGGCCACTCTTACAAAATTGTTAATCTCATATCCTGTTAGTTTTCTTTTACTCTTGGACATTTGTTGAACCATTTTTTCAGTGTATGCCTCGAGACTTTGACAAGCAGATTGACGAAGAATTTCATATCTACTAAGGTTGTTAGTAATATCTGCAAGTTGTGTAGTAACACCTTTAGGTGATGTATTTGAAGTATTGTTGTCTCTAGTATCGTCGACATCTATTGCTAATTAATTATTACTAATATAATACAATTAATCAACACACATAATTATATTTAAGGTCGAATTTAAAAATATTTACCTTCAAGATTATTATCTAAACTTTCAATATTATCAGAATTTTCTATCTTAATCATTTTAGATATGTCTTCTTTGTCCCGAATATTTTTTAAAAATAATTCAGCAATTAATATACAATTTCTGCGAGACTTATTGCTATATACTAGCTCATATGGAGTCTTGTTCTAAGAACGGCAGTAGCTGTTGTTCATTAATGATATAACAAACTGAAGCCCGAATGACCAATCACTTCACCCTGTATCTTCTTTCCGTTTGTCTAATTTTTGTTGAAGAATTCCATTGGCACATTCAACTAAGCCTTAAGACTGTGGGTAACATGGTCTTCCATTAATTATTTTAACAGAAGGCCACATTTTCATAAGTTTCGTAATTACTGAAGCACAAAATTCTTTGCCATTGTCCAATTGAAGTATTGATGGAGGTGAGCCCAAAGAATGGAAAAGATCAAACAAATAAGCTGCATCCTCTATGGCCCTTTTGGATATAAGTGCTTTAGCCCAAGAGAAGCAGCTAAAGTGATCTCTGAGATGGCAGATATATTTATAATCACCATCAGCATCAAATGGGGTCTTTGCTAGGAAAATAGGGTTCCAAGGTCCCTCCAATCGAAAATGAGATTATTGTTGCATATTAATCTTTTATATGAGAACTTTGCATAGTATAAATTTTATACTATGTTATTTTAGTATAAAAATAAATTATTCGAGTCCGGATTTTTTTAAATATAAAATCTAAAAATAGAATTGAGAAGTGATCTACGTGTCGTGATTAGACAATAAACCAACTTCGGTTGTCAATCCCTGAAATTTTATTGGCTCTAAAACGTATTAATGATAACTGATAATTAGATGAAAGATACTTTTCCAGTTTTTAGCATTTTACGTCCTAGTTATGGAGTCACGTTTGTTTGATATTAAAAGGTAAAATTGGTGTATACATGTTTTTTATTGCTTCAGGTTCCGCACTTTCCTTTTTACTGGACTCCTTACCTTTTTCTCTCTTCGTAGGTTTTTGTTTTCGTTACTACCTTGAGCCTTGTCATCACCGATTACTTTGGTATTTAGCTTAGCTGCACCTTCTCTTTGCTAGTATTTCTTTCATCTTTACCACCTTGGTCCTTTGTCAATGCTCTGGTTTTTTTGTTGCTGATTTATTGCTACAGGTTTGTACATTGCTCTTCTAGTTGAACTTCCACTCTTCTTTTTTACTGGCTTCCTTACCTTTTCTTTCTGTGTAGGCTTTTCATTTTTTTTACTACCTTGAGCTTTGTCATCGCTGTAAATTTATCTGTCATTATATCAGTGTTTTAGCTAATCTTCGCTGGTATTTGCTTTTTTTTATAGTGAATTCTGCACTCTTTTCTAGTATTTTTTTACTTTCTCATCGTTACCACTTTGGTTCTTTATTACCGCTCTGGCTCTTTTTTTTTGTCGCTGATTTACTGCTCCAGGTTTGTGTCTTGTTCTTAATTGAACATCCGCACTTTTCTTTTTATTGGCTTCCTTACCTTTTTTTCTTTTCGTGCATTTTTGAGCTCTGTCACCACTATAGTTTTCCGCCATTACTTTGGTGTCTGATTCAGGTGCTAATCTTCGCAGGTATGCACTTTTTTTTATGAATCTTATGCTTTCTTTTTCTAGTATTTCTTACCTTTTTCTC